CTTGAAGCTGAGCAAACCAGAAATTAACACTGCATGTTCCCGGAAACATCGTTTCCTAGCCATGTTTCCTGAAGGTGGACAAACCAGGAAACATTTTCCTGGCCATATGTTTTCCCAAACCAGGAAAGTTTTAACATCAGTTGTTTCATTTAGCCATGTCTCTCAAAGATGAGCAAACTAGGAAACATTGTTTCTTAGCCATGTTTTCGCAACAAAAATTACACTTATAGGAAGCAAATTTGTGTTTCCAATCAAAACAGTATAGTCATGAATTATAACCCGGCAATAAGTTTATTCAAAAACTCTCTTGATATCTTCGACAATACTTCTTCGCCAGGCGTGTAAACACATATTTTAACATGTTTTCTTAGGCTTACAAAACCTCTTTGCATTAATGAGTGTTATTTGCGCAAATCAGTCCTGCCTTTAAAATTGTTTTCGCGCATGCGAGAGTCTGGGTACGAGGCGAAATTATTCCACAACTGTAATCTACAATCTGAGTCAAATTTTAATTTATTTTTTTTTTGGGGGGGGGGGATTTTGTAAAAGCACCCCCAAACATTCCCTAGATCTACTCATATTTTCAATATTTACTCAAGTAAATAGCAAAGATATTACGCATTTGTTTTGATAGTTCAAATTTGTTAGAGGCGAAATGCTGTATGTAAGCTTGTATCTGCTTCCAAAAACAGTTTGCGTCAATTGGCCAGCGTCAGCCATTCCGGACATTGTCACGAGCTTAAAGCATGGCTTAAAGTGTTCTTCGTATTTTCTCGAAGTGTTTGAAACTTGAAAAGGAGATCTTAATGTGTTAGGTTCAAGGTTCAAGGTCTGTGTAGCTTTAATCCGCTTTTCCGCAGTGGAAAGTGTGGTCACTAAGCCTGTCCATCAAAGTGTTCTGATCGAGCTAACCCACACACGTAGCGAGATCACACTTTAACGATCTCAAAAATACCCCGTGTTTTCAAGGGAAGAGAAACGTTTCGTGCTTGGCGTCTTGACAGATTTAAACCAGCAACAATTCTCATTTTTGCTGAACATTTTTTGGAGTTCAGGATGTTGATGGAAAGGAATTTGGATCCTTGAAGAAACGGAAGTATTTTTGTAAAGGCAACGCCAAAGGATAAGTCATGGGCATTTGAGACTCAAAAGCTTAAGGAATTTAATATTATTAGTGATTACACAAAATTTCAAGTATTCAATTTAAGCTGGTCACTTTAACCATTTAATCTGTAAGGCCAGGAGAAATGAACTTGTTGCAACTTACTTGCCGCTATATAGAAATGCAATTTTCATTCAAATCTATACCAGGTGAGCCCAAATCACTAAGGCAGCTATGTAAATGCACATGGTAATTGTTAGACTCCTTGTTCTGAAATTATAGTCTACATAGACTCATAGTGTAATTAAGAACATAATTGGACTATCAATTTGTTTACTTTGCAAGCCAAAATAAACAAAAACTTAATTTTGCTATTGGTTGACGAACAAGGAAGGAAATATTTGGGTTAATTAGGCCCAACTATGCGAAAGAAAAACTTTTGAAAATGTATTAACGCAAATGACGAAGTTTCTTCTTTATATTAAGGATCGTTTAAATCTACTTAAAGTAAGAGTATTGACATTATTTTAGACAAAAATGGTCAAAATTTTGTTTTTAAAGTAGCGAATGCTTTTAGGCTTGCATAATTCCTAAATAAAGAATCGATAAGGCATTGGTAAAATGGCTTACAAAATTTTCTGATAATTACATCATGGAATTCTTGCACGGTCTTGTAAGAAAGATTAGGAGTGACTTGAATCGTACCTAACTAGGTTTATTTCGGAAATCTTAATCATTGGTTTTGATAATTCGTTTCAATAATTAGCTACAAGGCGTCTATTTTATCCAATTTCCTTCAAGAAGGCTAGATTTCTTTGACTTTACAGATTTTAGTTTAAAATATGTTGTATAGTGATTAAAATTTATCGCATGAAAATTCAAGCACTGACGGCTAACCTTCGGTTAACAAAAATTTGTTTTAAACTTCAGAGAATTGATCCAGACGTCGACAAGAACATAACAGTATATATAAAGTAACTTCAAAATACTTCTAACTTTCATAGTCAATGTATATAATTGAATAAACTTTGCACACGAAATAATTTGAACGATTGATTAACATTATGTAGACTATCAATAAAGCTTTTTCGTAAAGATGTTAACATTGTGCTACTGCATGACATTAAATAATGCTGTTCATTTGAGATTTTAATAACTGCCAGTTTCAACTACTAATCTGTGTACTGAAATTCGACAGCTTGGTGCTATTTAAAGTTTTCGATTTCTAAAAGCCTGTGCTAAATAAAAGGTGTGTCTCAATACCCAAGTTTAGTATATCTTATTTGCATACATTGCGCAAAAAGCCATCTCATTCGACTCTGAATATTTGGGTCGTGTCTTCTACTGTAATTGGCATTTCATTCTGTGATAAAAAACCTAAAACTTGACCAATCCCAGCTTTACCACATGAGAAAAATAAGAATTTAATTTTAATGAGATTTGGGTAGCTATTCCACCTTAATTTTGAATATTTGTTTTGTTTTGTGGAAACACAGTTTGCAAAGAAGTTGCATGCGACGGAATGTGCAGTTTTCCGCAAAAGTAAAAAGAGTTAAACTCGTCGCCATTGCCGGGCAAACCTATCGGGAGGAACTTATTTAGTTCAACAACAGTTTAGGCAAGTGACAATGGTTAATGTCGCCCATTTTCAAGCATGTGAAATTAAAATGCCACCTCGACGGAAATCGAATTGAACTATAAGCCGTCAGAGCGTAAAATAGTAAAATAGTTTTAATTCAAAAATTTCCAGCTTATCTCGGATTAATATTCTGAACGTACTGAAGGTGTGAATATTTTTCTTAAGTCTGAAATAATCTTTTATAAGACAAATTTTTCGCATAGTGTTTTTGGCGTCAGGCTGCCGCCTGGTGCTCGACAGATTGTTTTAAATAAACGACGTGCGAACTGCGAATTATTTTTGAAAAAATATTTTGTTAGTGGGTGGTGGGATAATGGTTAAACTACGTATTTGGCTGATAAACAAGATAAAGCACTAGAAAGCTGTTTGTCATCTGATTCCCAAACACTTCGAAGTTCTTTAAAAAGCTCGCCTATCGGATCGTCTCGTTTTTTCAACAAACTCCCAACGTAATAATTGTTGTTTATGTACTCGGATGAAATCGTTTTAGATGAGTGTGTCACCACCGGGCAAATGGATGATTCTAGCTATATACTAAATTTTGATCTAGGCAAGAAGAATGAAATCCATCACCTGCACAGGCACAGCTAGATAGAGCATCTTACAATTAGTTTGGTTGCAAAATGTTGTAAAATGAGGAAGATCGATATACCCCTGCGAAATTTGCAAATTTTGTATTAATTTGTATTAGGAAACATTTGGGCCGAAAGTCGTGCATTTTCCCGTGCGTAATACAAAATAATAACAAAAGTTGCAAATTTCGTAGGGCTATATTTTCGGCCGCATTTTACAACATTTCGCAACCAAACTTTGCACTTTTACTAACTTTAAGACGCTCTTTATAGCTGTGGTGATGGATTTAGTTCTTCTTGTCAAGATCAGTATTAAAGTCTATAGCCCGAATCGTTCATTGAGAAGTTTGCTTTACCGCAGTGGTAAATGAACCCGCGACCCAGAAGCGTAGCTAGCCCAAGCGTGTGTGTGAGTTTTATGATAATCTGAAAGCCACAGATTTGGTATATTTTATGTCACAGCTGAAATCATTAAAAGGTTACACCCCCTGAAAACATTACAAAATTGGTCCTGAAGAAAGTTGAGAGAGGGGGGGGGGGG